AGAATTTGATGCTGATTCCGAATATGTATGTGTCATAGCGTAGTTTTGTGGGCAGGAAACATGCCTTAATGGGACGCGTCCTTTAACAAGAATGAAAGATTATGAAATAGCTAATCTAACTCGTGCATTAGACCTTAGAATTGAAGAGCGACATCGTACTCAAGACCGACAAATTGAAAATGAAAGACAACATTTAGAACAACAAAAAGCTGATAATCTTCACTATCAAGACCTGTTCAAAGTTTATATTGAAGATGTTTCAAATGCTCTATTTAAATCAAACAATTCCAAAATTTATCGGTAATGAAAAGAAAATGAAATATATTCGTGCAAAAACTTTGACAGCTCTGAATGAAATGGATTCAGAACGGAAATCTCAAGTCTTTCTTTTTCTATATGAAATTGGTATACTTTTCTCTAAGGAACGTCCTCGTAACAATGAGACGTCTATAACTCTGCTTCACGTTGATCTCTCAGGAGCAAATTTTGTTAACATTTCATTCAGAGGTACTCCGTCTAAAAAGTTTTCTCTGAATAGATTAAGGGCCTAGTGGATAATACACCACAAAGCAGGCCGAAAATGTAATGGTTTAATTTCATCCAGAACATCGATGTTTTACCACTGCGATAAGAGGAACTCATAAAAATGAGACCCAAAGTTTGAAGCCCTGACTGGACTTCTGCCTTTAAATTTTGAGAGAAATTATTATGCGTTGCAAAAAAACATACCATTCGATGCGGTATTCCAGAATGATTTGAGATATGGCATTGGTTTTTGTTAAAAGTGGTGTTGAGGCGAAACGAATTGTAAAAAACCTCGAAAGCACTCATATTCCTAGGGTTGTTAAATCCTTCAGTTCCTAGTACAAGGAGAAGTGCGTAAAAAACACTTTAACCACAAATGCAGCAAGTTAACTTTAGCTCGTGTGACCCTTCGTCGAATGGCGCGCAGGCAGTTTAACCAGAAAAAAATTGAAAGCCAAAATTCGCGAAATTTTGCAAAATCCTGAATTAGAAGTTTTTTCTGCAAAATTCCTCAAAAATAACCGATTTTCTAGAAAGAAGGCTGCAAATTTAAGTGAGGCATAGACGGAGCTGGTTTTTTCCCTTTCTTTCGAGTGGAAAAAAGTAAACTTTTGGACGCTGCTAAGCGAGCACCTAAGTTCGAAGACAGTGAAAACGAATTCGTTTTATTTAAAACCCGGTTCTTGGGAACAAAAACGCGTTTATGACGTATTGGAAAACGTTGTCAGAAACGCGTTTTTGTTACCAAGAACCGGATTTTAAATAAGAGAACCCATTTTCGACCGTCATTCACTTAGAGCGTCCGTTTGGCAGCGTACGAAACTTCTTTTTTTTTCAATGGGCTTTCTGTCTATTGCCTACTGTGCAATAATACAGAATATACTAATTTAGCAAAGAATACTTGGGGAAAATTGTGAGAGTGTTTCATTTCGAAAAACTCAGAATTTTGTTACGGAAAAGGTTTATAATCTACCGTTAACTTTAACATCGCGTTTAATAGACCTTACAAATGCATCTTTCGTCGATTGTGAATTTGAAGAAGGTGCTGACTTTAGTGATGCAATTATGTACAATGCAAAATTTATAAATTCAATTTTCGACTGTAGGAAGTATTACGGTGTGGAAAGTGATTATTCAGAAACTCCACGTGTGATATTCACACGTACAAACTTACAAAAAGTCAATTTTTATGGATCACATTTGTGTGGTGTTAGTTTCAAGGAAGCAAATCTAGTTGAAAGTAATTTCAATCGAATTGCAGGACGAGGCATAATATATTTTGATGGTGCAAATCTAACTGGAGCAGATAGCCGTGATATTACAAACTTACGACGAGTTAACATCAAGTATATCAACAGTGATCTACGTAATACTTTGTTTGATGATGATGCCCTTGTTGAAGGAATACAGCATGACCTTGTCACAATGGAGAACGTCAAGGGTTCATCCATTCAAGGACATCCAGAGACAAAAAGCCCCTCGTCGCACGCATTTTCAGGTTTTTGCCCAATTATAGTGCGCAAAATCTGGCACATGCATGCGATAAGGAGCTCGTTTGCTGCCGAATGCCCTATTTTGATGTATGCTTTCTTCCAACTGGCACTTGGCTACTAAATCAATCTAACTTACTATTGAACGGAGATGCTGAGACGAATGTAAGTGATTTGTTAAAAGTTTACATGAAAGGGGGGTGGTCATGCGGGAAATGAGAGAGTGAAATTTAAAAAGGGAGTGAATTTCTTTAAGAAAATCTTGGCTCCAACTTTAGAAGCAAAAAACAATTCTCTCCACCCAAAAATTCAGGTGACCTTAATGGCTTTTTCGGGAATTTTCATTTTTTGACGTGCTTGTCCAAGATTTTGGTTAAAACTAGTCTTTTTCTGAAGAAACTTAAGTAAATGCTCTCTCGAAACTGGACTAAGTTTCACTAAATCTGGGAGGGGTAATAGCCTTGTTCCCTCTTCCCGCTGTGGAAAAGTACTGAGCCTCGATTCAACATTTTTTAGTGCCTCGCATCGTCACACTCAGATTTTATTGATAATTGGGACTCTGCATCTTGGGCGGATTTGCTTCCGGTATTGGGATCTAGCCACTCTATGGTCGAATCTAATGGAAACTGTTATTTCAGTTTTACGGGTAGTGAAAAAGTTGCTATGAGTCAAACGATCGATGTTCACAGCAGTTCATTGTTTATCGATAGTAACGAAACTGAATATCACTTTTCTGCGTCTGTCAACTGTATGGACGACAATTTACGATTGTTTAGCTATTTTGAGAATTCGTTAGGGTTAGAGTTCGGCATGGACTGTATGTACTTTTCTTTTTTCTGTGGAGATTGCTAGAACACGAGTTTTTCACCTTTCCATCTACATTCTAGATGATTGGTTTACAACAGACGGCGCCGACGTAGATTTGACGACATGGAATTTATGGAAACATAAGAAAATGATACCAGTCTCAACTCGGAAGATAAGAATTGAAGTAGCAAACAATGAGCTTCCAGATGAATGCTATGTTGATAACATAGAACTGACTATTAGACGAACTGTAAAAAAAGGAGATTAGACGAAAAAGAAACTGCTCCTCATATTTGATGCTCCTACCGTAGAGAAATTTTTGCTTGATTCAAAACACGAATACACTCTCTTTTTTCGTTTGGTAAATGAAAGGTCGATGGTGGAAAGTTGATCCCTGGGCCCAAGGGAAAATCAAATGAAGGTTGCACATTTGGTGTTAGCATTGAATTTTGAACCGCCCATTTACTTCCAGTGTATTTTTTAATTTTTTGAAGTGAAATGGTGATATTCGGAACCATCCTGATTTGCTCTATCTGAATATGTTTTACGGAGAAATAAAAACCTGTGATGATTTAGAATTACGCGCGTCTTATTTACCAGCTTTTTTAATGTTTTTGAGAATCATATTTTCTGGAAAACATGGATTTCTAACTGTGTAGATCACTGTCTTTCTCGTTACTTTTTTGGTGGAAGGGGTGGAGGTAGTTGTGGCAGCGGGGGTAGTGGCTTATTCAAAGAATAAGGTTCTTTCTTTTTCATGATTGCTGTCGATGCTGGAGTTGTTGCTCGTGGCGGAGGAGGAGGAGGCAGCGGCGGCACCGAACAAGAAGTTTGTATTTGTTGCGAGTTTGTTGTTATTTCTTGAGTTACTGCTCGTGGGGGAGGTGGGGGAGGACGCAAAGACGGAATTTGTTCTGCTGTTGTTGATGCTTGAGGTACTGTAAAGGGTAGTTTCAGCAGTGGATACTTGGGTTGTGTTTCACTTACATTAATGATGTGAAGGCCATTTCCTGCATCCAGGCAGCCTGTTACTTCAAATTGAAATGCCGGGAGTAAGAGAACCTCCCTTTCCCGTTTAAAGATAGAATGGTCTTTAATAACTTTTCCAGAAGAACAATCAATGTTATAGAGAGAGAGAGAGAGGTAATTCAAAAACTTGTTTTCCTTGATTGTTTTTTATCAAACTCTGTGTCCTCTTCCTTAAATGTTAGGATGTGTCTACTGTCTAGCAATGGTTCTACTTTGAAGGTCTAGATGTGACGGTGGAGATAGTAGGGGAAAAGAAGAAACGGAAGATAATTAGCTGTTGTCAACAGTTGTAACTTATGTAAAAAGGCAAAAGGAAAACAAAACAAAATAAACGGGTACAGGGTAGTTCATTGTGAATTCTGCCACCATTACATCGGCCACTTACGACAGTGCCGGGATGTGCATTGCCTGATGCAGTTTTTGAGGTTGATTGAAGGGGTGAAAACCGTAGGTCCCTAACTCTCTCACTTACAAAAAAGGTAATGCTCAAAGCACTTGTAGGGGAAAAAGCGCACTCCTGTCTATCTCCCAGCAAAACTGACTGTCTTGCAGAGCTAACTGTGGCTAAAATACGCGTGATAGAACCTTCAACTTTGCGCTAAAGAAAAGAGCAAATCAAATCCTAGTTAGTTTTACGAAACTCAGACGTGTAGAAGCACCTTACGAGAGACCAGGATTTCCGAAAATCCTGTATGACCTTCGGACCCCTCAGAACCTAATCTGATATAGCCAATTGATATCCCACTCAATTTTGTGCAAAGGGGATGTCAAGCAACTGTTTGGTGCACTCCGGTCAAATTTTAGAATAGAAATACGCACTGTTTTCGAAGTCAACTACCGATTATTGAACTATATTTGTAATATTGCAGATTTTAGCCTCGCTGAGGGTTGTTGCTGTGAAATAATGGGTAGGTTACTCTAAGAGCTTACTTAACCTCTCATCTTCCACAAATCTGATGAACTGTCGACAGATTGCCTCAGATCAGGCTTTGTGCTTTAAAACATCCTGCATGATTTCTCGAAAAACCACGTTTTTCGGAGAATCCTGGTTTCGTAAGACTTTCCGGCACGACATATATCTAGAACTCGGCGAGCTCTTTCAGTTGGCGCAAAAATGAAACTTCTAAGACATACCCTTCAGCCATAAGAAGCTCTGCGACAGGGTTCGCTTTTGGTGGAAAATAGCTCAAAATATGCTCTCTTCATAAGAAAAAAGACGATGAAATTATAATCGATACGAAACAGCAACACCTACAGTATAAAATGTATCTACTTACTGAAGAGCGTTGATGGCACAATAGATAAAATCTCTGTTTATGACGGACAGAATCGAGGTTCGAATCCTCGTCAGCGCGTAAATTTTTTTCTAATTTTTTTTAAAGGCCCCCGACTTCAATTTTCGGAAGTACCCCGGACTAAAAATCATGAACCCATAGGCAATCGACCACGCTGATTCCGAATATCGCCTTCCCCCGGACTCTAATCGCATTCGAAAATTTCGAAGTCCGATGATATGAAATTCGGTCATCCATTTATGCACTTGCCATCCTGTTTCCTCGTAGACAAGGATCTATTTGTAAAATCTTAAATGATCTGTATCTTTCTAGCTGTCTCTACATTTCTGGCGTTCCCGGTGTTGGTAAAACTCAAATTGTAATGAAAATCGTTCGTGATCTTATGTTAGAATCACTCGATTCAGATTTAAATTTATTGTTTTAAATGGAATGAAAATTAGAAAACCGGATCAGATCTATGGTCAGCTACTAACGGTAAGTGTGTTGGTGGAAATGTTTTTATTAAATTACATCTTCCATCACTCTTTTTTTTATATACAGGCACTCGATGGTGTGAAGAAGAAACGTAGTGTTAAATTGTGTACAAAGAAATTGAAAGAACATCCCTTCATCGCTATCCGAACTATTTTGTGATTCATCAGTTGAATTGAGGTCTTGTGTGTTAGTTTCATCTTCTTCACAACCAGATGTTTCATTGCTTTGATTTCTACAAGAAACCCAAATGTTATTGTTTTGTGGTAGCTTGGACAAGTACACTAAACCACAAAGTAGAATTTTCCTTTTAATTGAACGAAAAAATTGGATCATTGGAATTTCAGAGATTCTTTAAAATCTCTATAACTGGGATTATTTAAACGATCACACATTCTTGGGTCCTTGAGCTCGGTACAGTTTCTGATAGTATCAAAAATTTCAACTGCTTCAATAGTCCTCAAATTCCCTGTTTCTAGACAAATATACCTTCGCAACGAAGGTGATTCTTAGCGAAAAATAAAACTTTCCTGCGAATATTAAGTATGTAATCTATGGATTTCCCCCCGAAATAATGTTGTTAGTGAATAGAATAAAATTACTCTGCGTTTTTTTGTTGGTTTTGTGGCCATAAACATAAAGATTTTTAAATTGTAAGATTTAGTGCATGGGCGCAACAATAAATATGAGAACCAAAACCGTCCTTTGCAGCTAATTTCATATTACTTCCATTATCGGTTGTTATCGATATAATTTTATTTTGTAAATCATATTGTTGAATAACACGATTTAAGTGTGAGTTTAATCGTTTTGAATAATGTTGCCCGAGAAAACGTCTAAAACTGAGCACTGCTGATTTAATTGTAAAATCTTTAACCATGAAATGTACTGTTACACAACAATAAGGTGAACGTCGACTACTGGACCATAGATCACATGTCAACGACATGTTATCAGTTGAACGTAATTCACCTTTCAATTTCTTTCTTTCATCCATATATAAAGCATGTAGATGACGTTTGACTGTACGACTACTTGGTCCGTAGTAATTTGGTGTAGCTTCTCTCAAAAATGTTTGCATTCCAGATTTTTTAAAATCGTTAAAACTCCTACCATCACGAATAATGTATTTTATTGCAGCTTTATCCAAGGCGCTCTTGTTGAATGCCCGAACTACTACACCTCAGGATTGTCTCGCTTTAAATTAGAATGGATTATCATCAAGCTCCGACCCTTTCCTTCAAGGCTATAGTTCTGCTAAAAATCTCATTTCTGTTTTGGAGACTTTTCTACGAAGTGGTAAACAGTGCCGATATTCGGTTTCAGGCTGGAAATGATAATTGAAGGTTCTAAATGCTTGATAGGACTAGAACGTTATCAAGTAATTAGACGTTTCTGCAAACTTCAGCTGTGTGTATGTTTCTCTCATATTAGATAGCCATTTCGCTGTATACTGTTTCACATTGCATAAAATATAAAGGAATAAATTAATTTACATCTCCAAAAGAAAAAAAAAGAAACTATATCACAACTCATCAAAAGACTGTTTGAAAAATATCACAATGTTGTCTGGGTTAATTTTAAACCAACAAAAAAAGTAAGATCCAAAAAGGAAAAAATTCAACAAAGAATTATGTAACTCATAAAAAACCTTCAAGTCTGACGTCCCAGATGAATAACGAGAAAAGAAACAAACATAACTGTCTATCTATCGCCTTGTTTTTTATCTGTCTTCTTGGGACCACCTACATCTTTCAGATTAGCACGACATAAAGCGCACGATGTTCCACCGGCTTTTATCCACGCTTCTAAACACTTCTGATGAAAATTATGTTCACATGATGTTACCATTTCATCGTTAGTATAGATGTAATTCAGGCAGATTGGACCTAGAAAACATAGAAAGAATGCTCGGTTAAAAAGTGCACAGTGGAGGGATCCACCAAGCAAGGATATCCGCCAGAAACAGATATTTTCATCCCATGTATGACCCAGTAATTGTCCACATTTTTACACAACAACGGAACAACAACTGGAACCTAAGCGGACGAAAATATCGGTTTTTGCTTGGACGTACTTCATCGGTGCATCCTAAGTGCCAAAAATTTGTCAAAAAATCGCCAATTCACTTTTTCATTTTTTGAATAGTTGTATATTATATGGGCATACTTTGAGCTCTGGTTCGTTTAATGGATGAAAATAGTTTTAGTTTTGTAATTTATCATATTCTGCGCAAAATTAATTAGCAAAATATGGGCCACTTTTACGTTAGTTCATGAAAAGTGATTTTTTTGCTCGTTAGTTATCGCGTATCATGAAAAAGGCTTTTTGAGCTATCGATTTGACAAAAAAACTCGTCTGGGGCGCTTTTCTGTCAGTGTAAGGAAAATTTCTGAGGGAAAGTTTTAATCGAAACAGTTACGCCGTAAGTGATTACTATTTCGTACGCTATTTTTGAAACTTCTAAGAAATGATTTTGGTTGTACAACTCGCGGGAATTAATCTAGTAACAAGTGGATGTTGAGGAAAACTATGGAGTTTGCAAATTCTTGACGATTGCTCAGTTTTCTCAAAATTCGTAATCAGCGTAAAAAGTGGATTTCAGGATTCTTCAGACTGTCTGATTAGGCAACATTTTTGTCTGGAAAAGATCTACGTCAGAAATTTTCGGAGAGAATTTCTGCACTTTTATTTGTAGAGATATCATCCGGACCATCAGTCACACATTAAATTAAATTGTCTTCAGCCTCGGAAAAAAAAGTGTAACCGCCTGTTTTAGTCAAAAGAGCCGCCAGTACGAATTACTTTTTTTACACTTTACGATCTCCTTCACTTGAGACTCACATGTATCATTACTACGTATTCGACGTGTCATAATCGTTAAATTCTTATAGTTAACTAATTTTGCACCATTTGTGCCAACTTCTTTTTCTAAATTAAATCGGTTGTATGATTTATCAACTTTGGTCCAATTTTCCTTCTGAACCACTTCCTTACTGACACCATCGGTACCCAATTTAACACCAGCAAATTTCCATTCACAATCTGTGAATGCACACGTGGCACAATCGACTCGGCCCGAACACATCGGACATTTGGTATCTTTATCCCTGACAAAATCAAATAAACCATAATGTTTTCGAATGATGACCATTTGTAAAAATGCTCGACAGTTTCGATTCATACAGTGACCTAAGGAAAAAAAACAGAAACTACCTTAGACGGAGAGAATACTCAAAACTCAGAGTCGCAACTTCTAGTCTTATTAGCAATAGGATTTTCCATGCAGCTTTTACGCTGCTGAGCCTTATTGAGAGGTCTTTTCCGTCGAGAAACTTCGAAGGTTCGCAGAGTTGAAGAGTTTGCCGATCACACATTTATACATTTCCACAGTTTACTTTTTTGTTTCTCTGTGTGTGTGCCTGGATCCTGGACGTTCATGTATTATTGTTTCGCTCTACTATACTGTATACTGTACAGTATGGTTTTTTAGTCTATACTGTCTACTGTATTTATGTATAGTTTTTACATAAATGTATTATATATACTTTGACGTTATTTCGTTAAGGATGATTTACTTACGTTAAGAATTTCGCGTAATAAACGTAACTCCTTCGTTTCGTACGGTAAGAAAAAAGATTTCCTTACCGTCCTACGTTATCTTTGCTCTTTCCTTTACTTCTACCGTCATCCGTGATCTATACTGTACATCTATAGGTCACGACGGACGAAAGAACAGGAACGATAAAAATGACGCTTCTTACGTCTTACGGCCCATCACTACTTGATATATCCCCCTGGCGGAAATAAACGGTACACCTAGTTTCTGACAATTCGTTGACCAAAAGAAACGATCTAGATCTCATATTTCTACCATAGATACTACTCGCAAGTGCCTAACTGTACGTCATATCACTGG